CCTTAGCTTCACATCATCTTTATTATCTGATCAATGGATAGTGCTGGAAAGTCCTCTAAATTATAGTTTCCTCAAGATATCATCTCTCTCTTTAATCTGTTTATTTGTGGGTTAATTAATAGTGAACAAATAGAATTACAGATTTTCTGACTTTGGAAATGATAAGCCTGGGAGAAAGACTGGCTTAGGGAGTGACAGGTATGAAAAAGGATGTGGGATTTTTTAATTAAAAATTTATTTTCTATTCTTACCTTTATGTCTCCTTTCTACCTATTTTTAATTTATTCTATCCTACCTAATTTCCAATACTGTATTGAATAAGAGTGGTAAGAGTGAGCTGGGCACAGGGGTACATGGTTGTAATTCCAGCGCTGGGGAGGCTGAGGCAGGAGGACTGTGAGTTTAAAGCCAGTCTTAGCAACTTAGTGAGGTCCTAAGCAACTTAGGGAGACCCTACCTGTAAATAAAATATAAAAAGCACTGGGGATGTAGGTTATTGGTTAAGCACCCCTGGGGTCAAAGCCCTGGTACCACACACACCACAAAAAAAGAGTAGATATCCTCTCTAGGCTCACAATCTTAATGAAACAGTATGCAATTTCTCACCATGAAATATGATGTTAGCTAAAGAACATCCTGTAGATATTCTTTAATGATTTATTGAAATTTTTTTCTCATGAATGGGTGTTGGATTCTGTCAAATGCTTGTTCTGTATTAAATGATATAATAAAATAAGACTTTTTTCTTTTAACTTTTAATGTAGTGACTTGCATTGATTGTATTTCAAATATTGAATGACCTTGACATGTCTGGGGTAAACCCCACTTTGACATGGTATACAATTCTTTTTTTGTTTTTTTTGTGTTCCTTTTGCTAGTATTTTGCTAAAATTTTTTGTGTCTGTAGTCATGAGGCATACCAGTCTTAGTTTTCATTTCATTTTTTTCAAAAAACTGTATTTTTCTGGTTTGGGTATCAGAGTAATACAGGCTTCACAGAATGAGTTGAAAAGTATTTGATTTGGGCTTGTGACAACAGTTTCATGTGATTTAAAATATAACAATAGTGGATGGATGGGGATATGGCTCAGTGTTAAGTGCCCTTTTGGCTTAATCCCTGGAGTGTGTGTGTGTGTGTGTGTGTGTGTGTGTGTGTATAACAATAGTGGATATGATATCAGTATTTTCTCATAAGAAGTGAGAAATACTATCATTCACAATAATAAAGCCAAATATCATACTTCAGATGGAAACTAGGTGGATTTCACTCTGAGAGAGAGATTTTATAGATGCTTGAATAGAAGAAAGAGAGTTCCCCTTTCTGAATTTTCACCATGACACTCCAGGCTTTATAGATTTATTAAAACAAGAGGTGGATAGGAAGTGGGAGATAAAGAAAGCACAGTACCCTGATATTATTATTGGACTCCGTACACACAAGTATAGCTGTTTCCTTATATCTCTCCATGATCCAGAATTTTCTTTTCAAATTTCTTTCCTTTTGTAGCACATAATTTAGATGCATACTTCATGCCCATTATGACATAGTTGAAATAGAAACTCTTCTGTAAGAGTGAATGTTTATTTCCACAAATCCTTGTAGTTATAAGATTTATAGTACTAAATGAACTGCCAAACAAAACCTTTTACTTTCTTTCTTTTCTTTTTTTATCAAACAAGAGAATTATGCATGTTAAGCAAGTGCTCTACCACTGGGCTACATCCCCAGCCTTAAAATTCTCTCCTCTTCCCAGGCTGGAGTGCCTTTATAAAGGTGTGAGCAAGGCTGTGAATCAGTAATGAACAGTGAAGCTCCCAAGGATTTACTACATTTGATATGGCTACAGTTACTTCTAAGAGCTCAACCTGCCCCAAACTGAGACCAACAAAGAGTCCCAGTTATGGCAGCATTCTTTGGAGGGACCAGCCAAGCACCTGGTGGCAGACTGATGAAATCCATCTAGAAGGAGCAGCATTTTTTTTTTTCCTCAAATAGGCATTTATTTTGTTCATGGATTTTTTTGAACCCACATTTCTGCTTATTCCCACCCATGGAGTTCCTGAACCCCTATTTGTATGTGCAATATCTCACATAATAGCACTTCTGACTAAGGAAACCATCCTAAGGAAAAAGACACATGTCAGTGTGCTCATGTTCACCAGCAAAACTGGTGTTACAATGTATCTTATGACCGGGAAGCACCAATGGTGCAACATTGGTTTTATCCCACTGCAAGTTGCTTGAGACTGCCATCCAATCATATGGAATGCTTTTCTTTCTTTCTTTCTTTCTTTCTTTCTTTCTTTCTTTCTTTCTTTCTTTCTTTCTTTCTTTCTTTCTTTCTTTTCTCTTCTTTTCTTTCTTTCTGGCAGTAAGAAATACTATCATTATGATTGAACCCAGGATGTTTGCATACTAGGCAAGTGCTCCACCAATGAGCAATAATCCCCAGCCCACAGCCCCCATTTGGCATTTGTTTTGCCATTGAACCAACTGGCAAACCATAGGTCCTACTGAATTGGCTCAGATGATTGATCTTTATTATCAACTGGAAATACAGTTATTGTTAAATAATGGGGTCAGGTAGTCTGTGTTTTCAATACAAGGGATTCTCTGGGGCACTTACTAATATTTCCATGACTAAGCAGCACCACTGAAGATCCAGACTTATTAGGAATACTGGTTTGGGTCACTCACTAAGCAAAGACTTGTGACCTCTTGAGGAGAGTAACAGTAGAATATTGGAAGAAGGAAGTTATAAATACCAATTATGGTCTCATGACCAGACACAGAAATGAGAATTGTAGTAGCCCCTCCCACAGAATATTTCCCATCTTCCTCTTTATATTTTTGTATGTATGAAATAAATGTTGATAGAGGTTAGCCTTATCATTTTTCTTTAGGTTATAAGATACTGATGTAGGGTGGTACTTGAACTAGAAGGGGAACCATTCTCTTCTAGACACTGGTATAACCTTTTTGTTTTGTGCACAAGTCTGTGTGGATATTGAGTAGCTAGGGAGGTGGTGTTCTGTGTGTCTCAACTTCCATTACATTGGAGAGGTGGAAAAGCTAAAAAGGTGTTTAATGATCTCTCTAATCTAGATTCTGGATGTCAATTAGGTTTGGCTAGTCAGATTAGCTGATGTGAGCTTTAGAATGCAGAGAGGATGCAGATGGTTGCAGTGGTGGTGAGAATATAAGTGGGCTCTGAGGTGTGAGTGTTGGCAGCAGCTGGAGCCAGCTTTGTGCCAGAAATTGTTTCCAAGCCTCTGCTTTGCAGCTCCTGTGGTGTGCCATAAGTCCAAACTCTGATGCACTCCCGATCTCATTGCTCCTGCACTGCAAACGATTTTCTAAGTACCTACCTCTGTAAAATAAATCCCCTTCTGCTTGAACATCTAAATACTCTTCCCTCTCTTATCCCTGACTGATTATAGAAGCAAAATGAACCCTGCCATACAAAATAGTCATCTCTTGGGGGCTGGAGTTGTGGTTTGGTGGTAGAACACCCCCTGTCTCACATGTGTGAGGCTCTGGGTTCCATCCTCAGCACCACATAAAAATAAATAAATTAAATAAAGGTATTAATTTTTTTTAAATAGACATTTCTCCCTGGAAATTCTGACTATATGAAGGGTATCAGGTTAAGAATTCTCTTTGTAAATCATTTGTTTTTTCTAAGTGTCACTTCCAAGTGAGAAGCATTGTATCCAGTGAAAACAGCATTGTAGAACAGGGAGCTGGCCAGATGCCAGCAAACATCACAGAGATGGTTACCACATCATGGATACTGGTTATAACTTTTAAAAAAAATATTTATTTTTTTAGGTGTAGATGGACACAACACAATGCCTTTATTTTTATGTGGTGCTGAGGCTCGAACCTGGGTCCTGCGCATGCTAGGCCAGCGGTCTACTGCTGAGCCACAATCCCAGCCCCTGCTTCTAACTTTGATATGGTGCTTTTCAGTTATAAAGTATGTTCCCAAAGAGTGGAGAGTGGTGCTTGGCAGGAGGTTCTTGAGACAAAAGCCTTGACTACTTATGAATAATTTCTCAGTTGTGTGGCTCTGAACAAATGATATTATTACCCTATTTTTCGTTTTACTTACCTGAAAAATTGAGATAACAACACGGCCTATTGGATAGGATGTTTGTGCAGATCCAATGAGGTGATGCTTGTAAAGTGCTTAGGACCATAAATGGCATAGTGTTAGCTTGGCACTGACAAATGTCACAATAAATATTAGGTCTTTTATTGTTATCATTATCATTTAGAGTTCTTACCATGCTTCCTGGTATAATTAACTTTAGATTCATCTTTTTAAATCAAAGAAATTGCTAGTACTCACTAGAAATTGTTAGTACTCACTAACTTTTGAATTTGGATCATTTGGGTTCATTAAGACATTTAAACAGTTTTGCCAGCTGAGGTTATCATTGATCTTTAGGAGCAGCATAAAAAACATAGTATTCTGCAAATAATCAAGTGGACAGGGAAGTCACGGAGGAGTCCTTTTTTTTCTTCCTCTATGAACTATATGCATGGCAGAAGTGGGTCATAGGTTTCTGCTCTGGTGCCCCAAGAGGCCCAGAGACCAGCCCTTGTTGACGTGGTTGATTGGGGATGCGGATGAAGGCAATAAGTTCCACATGCTGTGCTCCCGTTGGGTCACAGAGCTCTTTTCGTGGGCGCTCTTCCGTGGCCCTTGCTACTCTGAGCTTGGGCTCTGCCATTAGCACAGTCCTTTGGGCCCCTGAGTGAGAGCGCCAAGGCCCCCTGCCCAGGGTCCCCAGTCACAGCACTTGCTCGAAGGGGCTTTCTCGACTTCGTTGCTTGCTTTTTCCCGCCATCTAAGACTGCGTGCAACTGCTCCTGTCCCTTCCCCGGGGGCCTTGGTGGCCGGAGGTGGGGGTCGCAGCGGCCTCTTGGAGCGGCGCTGGGCGGGCGGGCTTTGGGCCCGCCCCGCCAGCATCCCTGGCCCGACTTCCTCCTGCTGCAGGCGGCCGGCCCAGCTGGAGGAAGCGGCGGCGGCAGCGGCCACGATGAGCACGGGCGACGCCGTGTGCACCGGCTGGCTGGTCAAGTCGCCCCCGGAGAGGAAGCTGCAGCGCTACGTGAGTAGGGGCGCTATGCACCCCTGGCCTTCGTGTCCTGCTACCCCTGCCCGTACAGTGGCCGCCCCAAGGCCACGGGGAGCCCCAGGGCTCTGGGCGCGCCAAATGCAGCCGCTCCCAGAGCCCTGTCTGCAGGCGAGGCCGATCGACGGAAAGCGAAATCGCACGTCGAGCCAGCGTCGCGGCTGTGCCCTGCAGCGAGGCAGATCTCGGTGGCTCTTGCTTGTGGGTTTCAGCGGCTTTGGACAGTTGCTGACCGTGGCAGAGGGAGGCGGGTTGGGGCTGAAGCCCCAGGCACAAGTCCAGGTGCTAGAGAGACCAGGGAAACATCTCCATGAGTGCTCCTGCCTCTGGCGGGAAGTGGATCTGATTCCCATTGCCCAGCGAAGGGAACAGGGCAAGGGATAGGGAAGTGGACAGCAAGAGGAAACCTGCCTGGATACTGCAGGCAGGGAGGCTCCTGCATTACCCTTGGACGCTAAGGAGCGATTTCTCATTTAGTTATCACTAGGGACATGCCTGTCTAGAGACTTCTACATAGTATGAACTCATTTCTCTTCGTGTCGCTTCTCAGCTTTTTTAAAAATGCTGACATCGCATTTTTCTCGTCCAGCAGGAATGATTGACTTTTACTATTATGAAGTAAGGGACACTTGGAAGAGCACATCTTCCTACACATCCTATTACCGTCTTTAATTATGCTACTAACAGCTCATCCTAAGAACTCAGGATAAGGTCTTAAAAACATTCTGCTTAAAGACCTGATTGCTACTGAGCTTGTTCTTCAGCAACTAGGAAAAAACACTTCAGTCCTCTGGGAGTAGAATATAAATAGATATTAGAGCTTTAAAAAGTTTTTGGTTGGGAGTAGCCTGATGGATCCATCTTATTCATAATTTCTAATTTCTCAGCAACTGTAGAACACTGGGGTGGGAACAAATCCACCGATGCCAGCGCCGATCTGAGGTAGCCGGGGCCAAATGCCTGTTCAGCCTGGTGCTCTTGTCTATAGCTCTCAAACAGCTGTCCCTAACCTCAGCAATATTTTTCATTCCCACATTTAAGAGCACATATTGTATGGAAATTGAAGAGACAAGATCACAAAGAAAACTTAGGTAATGTATGAATACTTATAGAATTTGTGACAGGATCTTTTCCTGAAGTACAATTTTTCACAGCCTCTTTCTCCATTCACCCTGGGAAAGACTCCTCACTCTTTGGTGTCTTTGAAAAGATTTTTGTTGTTTGCACCTATGAGCAACATTTTAGGAGAATGTTGTTCTACTTAGCGTATAGACAAGGGAGATGGATAAGCAGTAACGTTTCTCTGATTAGCCACAAGTATATCGCTGCATCATTCTTTTTGAGTCCAAGAGTCCATAAGAGCAAGGCTTGTATCTCACTGCTTTACCTCATCCAGCTGCTTCCCTAACTGTGCAGTTGCTTAAAGTCTCATTAACACTAAAAGGAAACAAGAGAAGAAAACCTACTTCTACTCTCATGCTCTACTTTTTCGATGTTTTTTAGAGCATGGGTCTCTGAAACACACCTCAAAAAGAAAAGTCGATCTCCTCTATCATTAAGGTCTGCAGGAACCCTTTTAGCCACAAGATGTCAATCGTGTGTCACTTCCACCGGGCCTAGGCAGAGCTGTTACTCACTAAGGCTTTAAAGGTTTTAATTAAGCTCCTGTCACAACTAGTTTCTCCTTCCTCCTATGAACTGGGCACCAACTCTAAACTAGGTTTTGTGCTGGGAATACAGAGAAATAAGACTTGATCCTAGTCCTCAAGAAGTTCATAATCTAACATGTTTAACACAATACCAACCAAAGCTAGTGGCACAACCAGGACAATAATTCAGTTCTTTGTATTGGCAGGTCAGCAAGCAGCACTGCATCAGTACCACAAATGCAAGCTCAGTCTATGTTTAGGCAAAATGGTTAGTTCAATCTAAGCTTGTACTTCATCCACTTCATTCCATTAGCCAAGGCAACCAGAAAGTTATTCTTGCTTACTGATCTTTTAAAAGTTAGTTGATGTTTTTCTTTTGTAATTTTTGTTTTACAAGTAATAGAGATTTATTCCTACAGTAAAAATTCAAACAATATAGGAATAAGCACAAAGAGAAAGTCCCCTCTTCCACCATCCTATCTTCCCTATGCACCCCTTCTTATTCCGCTCCCCTCCCCGGGGATAACAGCTGTTAGCAGTGTAGTATCATGCTAGAAAATTTTCCAGAAAATATGTAACTATTTTTGCACAAATAGATCACTTTATAGTAATTGTCCTGCAGTTTGCTTTCTTCACAACAATTCTGGATATTTTTTCCAGGTTAGCACATATAGGTTTACTTTGTTTTTCTTTTAAACCATTGCCTTGTGATAAATGTATTATCATAACTTAACTATTTCCCAATTGACAAAATTTGGTTTACTTCTATTTTCTCATTTTTAAAGAATTCTATAACAATCATAACAAAGCCATAATAGTTCACACTTATTGACTGTTTATACCTGTTGGGCACTATGCTAAGGGCTTTACTTGTATTGTCTCTGGATACAAGTTATTTGTTCGGTATGTAATTCACAAATATTTTCTACTACTCTGTAGTCTTTTCATATTCTTTACAGTGTCTTTGGTAAAACTGGAATTTTAATTTTTTATGGAATAAAAACACCATTTTTTCTTGTATGGATCATGCTCTCATTGTCAAATCTAAGAACACCTCACCTCCCTATGATTCTGAAAAATTTCTCCTGTTTTTCCTAAAATTTTTATGATTTTACATTTTATATTTAGATGCATCATTCATTTGAAGTTAATCTGTAAAAGTTGTAAAGTATATGTCATGGTTGACTTTCCTCCATATGGATTCCATTTGCTCTGATGCCACTTATTGAGTTGACTGTTTTTATTCCATTGATTTATTTTTGCAACTTTGTAAAAAAAATCAATTTATCACATTTAATGTAGGTCTGGTTCTTGATTCTCCAGCCTGTTCCATTGAACTATTTGTTCATTTTTATGCCAACATCATGTGATTTGATGACCACAGATTTATAATAATCCTTGAAATGAGATAGTTTAGACCACCAACTTTGGTTTTCTTTGTCAGGGTTATATTAACCATTTTAGGTCCTTTGTTTCGGTCAATTTTAGAATTAGTTTGACATTTGGTTTTGTTGCTCTTGTATCCTGTATCCTTGCTAAAAATTACTGATTAGTTCTAGGAGCCTTGTTTGTTCTTGGAACTTGCAATATGGTAAATGTTGCATAGAAATTATAAAAGCAGACATCCTTTACTGTTTCTTGATCTTAGTATGTCATCTGTAGGGTTTTTGTAGGTGTCCTTAACAAAGCTGAGGAATTGTCCCTGTATTGCTAATTTTGTCAAAAAATTTTTTAAAAATCATGAATTGGATTTTGTTCAATGATCTTCCTGCATCTATAAAAATAATAATAAGCTTTTTTTCTTTATAGCATGTTACTAAGGTAAATTATACTGATTCATTTTTTAATGTTGAACCAGACTTGAACTCCTAAGATAAACTTTACTTGGTTGTAATGTCTTATTCTTTTCATGTATTGCTGGATTTGTTTTTCTAATATTTTGCTGAAGATATTTGTGTCTCTGTTAGTGGGGGATATGGGCTTCAGTTTTCCTTTTTTTGTGCTGTCTTTGTTAGGTTTTGATATTAGCATAATGCTGGCTTCATAAAATAAAATGAGAAGTGTTCCCTCCTCTTTTTTTTTTTCTGAAAGATACTGTACTAAATTTGTATTCCTTCTTCCTTAAATGAGTGTTAGAATCCACCATTTAATCATTTGGGACTGGGCTTTTCTTTGTGAGAAGATGAACTATGAATTCCACTTGTTTAACAGATACAGGGCTAAACAGATTATCTATAGCTTCTTGATTGAGCTTCAATATTTTGTGACTTTCAAGGATTTTTTTCTATTTCATCTGCATTCTTGAATTTATTGGCATTAAGTTGGTCATTTTCTCTTATTAGTATTTGCAATGATGGCTCCTTTTTCATTTGTGATGCTGTAGTTTATGTCCTCTTTATTTTTTCCCTAATCAGTTTTGTATCCTTTCTAAGAACCAGTTTTGAGTTTCATTGGTCTCTGCTTGTTTTCTGCTTTTAATTGATTTACCCACCTATCTTTATTATCTCCTTCCTTCTAATTGTTTTGGGTTTAATTTTATCACTTCTTTATCTAGTTTATTAAAGTGGAAACTTAATTTACTGATATGAGATCTTTCTTATTTTCTAATATAAGCATTTAATGCTACAAACTTCTCTCTAAATGTGGTTTAAGTGCATCCCACAAAATTGGAATTGTTATGTTTTAATTTCACTCATTTTAAAACATTATTTAATTTCTGTCTGAGATTTCCTTTTTGACTTAAGGATTGTCCACAATTTTTTGTTTGATTTCCAAATATTGGGGGATTTTCTAAATTTCATTGTTATTAATTTCTAGCTAAATTTCATTATGATCTAAGAACAAACTATATCATTTCTATTCTTTAAATTTTATTAGGTTATATTATGGCCCACAACATAATTTCCCTTATTGAATATTATGTGTACACTTGAAGAAAATGGGTTTTCTATTATTGGGTGGAATGTTCTAGAAATTTTAATTAGGCCACCTTGGTTAATAGTGTTTTCAGTTCTTCCATATCCTTACTGATTTTCTGCTTACTTTTACCATCAGTTACTAAGAGAGGAATATGAAAATTTATATCTGTAGTTGTGAATTTGTCCAGCCCAGTTCCATTTTTATGTCATATATTTTGATGATCATTTGTTACATACATTTAGCACTATTATTTTCTTGGGTAACAGAAATCATTTTGTTTATTTATTTTTATAACTCTGATGTTATTCTTTGTTTTGAAGTCTTGCTTTTTTATTCATTCTTACCTTCTTTGTTTTTGCCTTCTCCTGAGTTAAATAAGCATTTTTATTATTACACTTGTCTCCATTA